ATATCTAGGTCCAAATCGTCACTCCAAAATCAAACCTTCCATCTATTAAAGAGTTATTATTTTCCCCTCCCTCTATCCCCAGGCAACCATGAATCTGCTTTCCATTTCTATAGTTACCTATTGTTTCTTACGTATAGGATCCTATGTGACCTTTTGTGCCTGGCTTCTTTCACTTAGCATGTTTTTGAGGTTCCTCAAAATCATTTATCAGTACTTCATTCCTTATGGCTGAATAATCCGTCATGTATGCCACAGTTTATTCATTTATCCACTGATGGACATTGGGATATTTCCGCTATTTGGCTTTTGTGAATATGCCGCTATGAACATTCACGTGCAGGTATTGGAGTCCCTGCTTTCAGTTCTGAATACATACCCAGGAGTGGAATTGCTGGGCCATATGGTAGTTCTATGTTTACTTTCTAAGGAACTGCCAAATTTCTCCTGAGCTGCCGCACCACTTTACATTCCTGCCAGTGATGATTGATATATGTGAGTGTCCCAATTTCTCCGTGCGCTGACCAACGTTGGTTTTAATTATGCCCCTCTTTACAGGTGTGAAGAGCTAGCTCGTTGTCCATCGTATTTGCAACTCTAACGTTTAACGATGTCGCGTATCATGTGTCTGTGGTTATTTGGAGAATAACCAGAATGCTCAGAATGTCTGTTCAAGTACTTTGCTCATTTTTCAATGGTGTTTTTTGTTGTTGTTGAGTTTTATGAGTTTCTTACATATTCTGGATACCACAGCCTCACCAGGTAGTACGATTTGTCATTATTTTCTCCCATTCTCTTAAGTTTTCGTTTCACTTTCTCCATAGTGTCCTCATTTTTTAACTTTGTTTCCTTAAGTAGTATGTACGTTTGGAAAATATGACAAATGGGGAAGCAGTAAAAAGCAGTTTCTTGTGTATCCTTTTAGAGACAATCTGTGCATATACATGCAAATGTAATGTCTATTCTCTCCTCTCTCCCCTTTTTACATAAATGGTACTTTTTCACTGAATGTGTCTTGACAGTTCTATTTCAGTTTATGTACATCTGCCTCAGTCTTTCTAACGGATGTGTGGTATCCCATTGTGTAGATGTATCATAGTTTAATAAGCGCCCTCTTTTGTGAACATGTAGGTTGTTACTTTTGACTCTTCCAGATACACACAAGTTAGTATAGATATAAGCTAGTTTATCTTTAGGATAGATACTGAGAAGTGGGAATGTTTATTAAGTATGGTTTTCATATTTGAAGGTTGCTTCCTAAGCATTAATAATATGCTAAATTAATAAAAAGATCACGTTGGTATTTTTTAAATGTCAAGCTTTATAGTGTATGTAATTTTTAGGAGTTAGAAGTGGCAGAGCCAGCCTCAACACAAGGTTTTGTAGCAGATAGGCCCCCCTTTTCACACCTCTGTTATAGGGATTTTCCCTCTACCACAGAAACAGTTCTCAGGTAGGAAACTTAATTTTTCAGCATACCATGTCTTCTAGTGTTAAGTTATAACACTTCCTGGCTGTAGAAAGAAAAGCATAATATGATTGAAGATTGGAAAGAAACGTCAGAGCTAACAAATCCTCAATTTTTAAAGTCACAAAAAAAGAACGGAGTTCTGCCCTGATTTCATGCAGTTCTTGTCAGTTTCTCTTTTTCCCAGAAGAAGGCTCTCCATACTCACTGCAACATGTTGCCTCCTTCTTGTTAAAGACCTTGAAAATGCTACTTTTCGGGGCATCTGGATGACTCAGGATTAAGCCTCTGACTCTGGCTCAGGTCATGATCCCATGGTTTGTGGATTCAAGCCCCAGGTCGGGCCAGCTACTATCAGCGTGAGCCCAATTCGGATTCTCTGCCCCTCCCGCCCTGCTCTCCCATTTGCCCTTTCAGAAATAAATATTAAAAATTTAAATTAAAAAAAAAGAATGCTGCTTATGTCTAGGTAGAGGTTCTGGGGTAGTAGTACAATTACGACCATGTCTCTGACACGAAAATAAATCACAGGACTATTTCACCAACTATGATGTCAGGCCCCATGCTGGTATATTAAAAAGTGGTTTTTAAAATTACTCTAAAATTTTTATCTTGAGAGAGAGAGAGGGTGGGCAAGAGGGGCAGAGAGGATCTCAAGCAGGCTCCACACTCAGAGTGGAGCCCAACACAGGGCTCAATCCCACAACCCTAGCGTCATGACCTGAGCTGAAATCAAGAGTCAGACACTCAACCAACTGAGCCACCCAGGTGCCCCTCTTCCTGATTTAAAAACTGCTATCTTGGGGCAGCTGGGTGGCTCAATCAGTTGAGCGTCAGGGACTTCGGCTCAGGTCATGATTGTGGCTTTGAGCCCCGCATCAGGCTCTGTACTTACAGCTCAGAGCCTGGAGCCTGCTTCGGATTCTGTCTCCCTCTCTCTGCCCCTCCCCTGCTCACACTCGGTCTCTCTCAAAAATAAATGAACATTAAAAAAAATAAGTAATCTGCACAGGGAATGACAGCGTACTTTATAGTGGTAGTTCTAAGAACCTGACGTCCTACGTATATTTTAACATAGCATCTTGGCACCAGTATTTGATCTTAATTGTGGGAAAAGTCACTGGAGAACTAAGAGTTCTAAAACTGAGCAGTGTGAAAATCAATGCTTAGCATATAGTTGGTTTAGACTAGGTTTCTATCCTTGAGGATAAGACAGGCACACTTAGAATGCACGTTCCCGAGGTCAATCCTTTAACATAAGAGAAAGCCATCACAGCTCTCCTGACATTTATAGCGGACATTGTGGCATACTGTCCAGATATAACGTCTACCCCCAGCCCCATCCCTCACCCCCACACACCCATTAAGCACTCGCTTCCCCAGCTCCTGGCAATGTTGGATGGTGGCTCTCAGCTGAGTTCTCTCCAGGTCTTTTTTCATCCTAAGGGTATGCCCCTTAGATCACATGACTAATCTACGCAGGGATATAAAACCCTGCCCTCTTGGCTTAGTATGGCCCAACTACAGGGCCATCCTAGCTCTCGTTTCTGAGGACTCCTGACTGCCTCCCAGCCTAATTTCCCCCTATTTCCCAATCCTACTACTTTTACTACCTCAGAGATGTCGACCTTGAAATCATTCCCATTTAAACTTTCTACACCCTAATGTCCATCTCTGAGTGTATTTCCCCAGGGAACTTGGCCTGAGACAACATTTTAAACCCAAACACACACACACACAAAAAAAATCATTTGATTTTTCACTTAAACACCAAACTATTCCTGTTGAATTTTTCTTGCCTTTTATTGACATCTATTAAGACAAGAAAAAAAATTACCTTCAACCTTTTCTGACCCTCAATGTTTTATGAACATGCAACACCACCAATTAATGCTTCGTTCACTCGGTAGAGCACCCAGACATCTTGAAGTTTTCCATCCCCACCCAAAACCACTTTAATGTCTGTTCTGCAAAGTCAGGGATATTAAAGGAGCTGAACCCCAATTAAAATACTCATTTCGAAGAACATACCTGAGTGGGGGACCGGCCTTTCATTTCATTACAGTGTTGATACTGCAGGGCTTGTGTTTTACTTGTTTTAAAAGACCTTCCATGTTCATAGCACAGTATTGGCGTTTTACGGATTTGCTGGACTATGGATATTTCTATGTCACGTGCATTTATTAAAATTGTGTTGAACCTGTACGTCACAGAATGCTCAGAACGTTTAATGCATAATTCATCTTTATTAAAAGTAAAACCTCTAAAATATATGTAGAAAATAATGTATTGGGTATTTTCACATCCAAGGTAGTCATTAAAAGGTTAAGAGGAAGGAGGTCTTGTTTCCGATGATTTACAAAGATCTATCTCCAGTACCCTCGACCATACTGAGATTTTAATTCTTGTCATCTGAATTTGTTTAAACTGTTAAGCTTTTACATTGCTTAAAAAAAAGGGGGGGGGGGTGTGTGTGAGAGAGAGAGAGAAAGAGAGACTTCATTCATAAAGTCTGTCAAAGATAATCATAAAACAATGTAGCAGTCATTTAACCCAAATACCAGTACCCTCTAAATGGAATGAAGTTTTTCATTCACTGAATATTTGGCCCTGAGACACTGGCTGCTGGGACGCAGCCCTGGAGGAGGCACCAGTCCTGGCCCCCGGAAGCTCCCCATCTTCTGGGGAATCCAGACATGGAATAAGCAATTACAAGCACAACGTGGAAGGAGCTTCTCGGGGAGCTCCTCCCATGAAGGGGTGAGATTTCGAACTGTTTTCAACGTCATCTTATGCATTATATGAAGGAGGGGAAAGCCTAGGAAAGAAATACAAACACAACATCTGAGAAAGGGGAGTGCCAGGGGAAAACTACAGCTATTGAAGACGACATCCCAGGCACAGCACATGGTGGTTTCAAGACGTAACTCAACTTTTACTTTTACTTCATTTGTTTGTATGCCTAAATCGGAAAGGAAGCCAAAAAGCATGAAATGAGACCTCAGGGAACTCACATCCTAATCTCAAGTAACCAAAAGTAATGCTTAAAACCTAAATGGGGCAGACAAAAGATTTCAAGAGCATCAACAGCTCAGGGAATATACATTAAGCCTCTTGCTTTATATTCAGAAAATTAGAAAACTGGGCTAAACATGTATCTCAGAATGTATTTAATAGAATTTGCATGGGTTAGCCTCACCGAAACAAGCTCACTGCTTTGAAGGCCCTTTTATACCAGCCCTTCATTCTATCACCAGTGAAAATTGTTTACCAAGAGGGGGCAGTATGGGATACAGATATCTCATACATTCCTTTAATGCTAGTTGGACTTTTCAGAGTAAAATAGGACTATGAAGTCACAGCAGTGGGACAAAGTGCCACTTTGTTTTCAAACGGCACATGTGCTTTGTCCCTTGGGAACCTTTGGTTGGTTAGACTTTTTGTTCAGGAGCCATTTCATCAAATGTGGTTCAATTCCCAGGCTAAGACCTTCACCAACACGCTCAATAACAACATTCCTAAAAATTACAGCCAACTAGAAGTCCTCCCTCTGGTTTCTCTTCTGTGCTTTGTAAATATGTACGTCTTTGTCAGGATCGTAGTGAACCTTAGTCACAGTAAACTGCCTCTCCAGCATCGCCAAGAAGTCGTTATCCCGTTCATAGCGAATTCGGCAAGCTAAAAGAATCACGGAGCGGTTGCTACAGAGATGTTCCAAAGTCTGAAGAAGATCTGTGAATGTTTCTTCTAAATATATGATATCAGCTCCAAGTATCAGGTCAAATTCTCCAGGTGAATAACTCCCCAAATTTTGTCCCCAAGTCAGCTCCTTAACAACAGCTTTGGGTTGGATATGGGGAGGTAAGTTGGCTTGAACATTTGATTTAAGAAATTCTAATGCTACTTTTCGATCCGTGATAGTCACATGAGCACCTAGAATGTGGGACAGAGAGAGAGAGTCATGTGCACATCAATACAACTAACAGGTAGGGGTGTCAAGTCAAGCGGGGGGTGGGGGGGGAGTGTCTCTA